TGACCCAAATCGCCGAGTTGGTCCACCAACTTGTAGAGTTCCATGAATCAGGAACCCTGAATCGTGATCCAACTCGTCGAGTTCTTTCACAACTTGTCGAGTTGCTCCTATCCATAGAATCGGGACTTTTCGCTACAACTCGTTGAGTCCTTCCTTGAACTCGTCGATTTCTTTAATGTACAAAACTCGGAAAACCTTAACCAACTCGTTGAGTCGTCTCCTAGACTCACCGAGTTTGCTCAAGAATCAGAAAAGGTTTGGGATCACGATCCAACTCTTCAAGTTGCATGAATAACTTATCGAGTTCCCTTAGTTTACACCCATTCAGTTATTTCTAGTTGGGTTCAATGCTTCCAAACCATAGATCTAGTCCCTTAGGACTAAGTTACCACGTAAAGTTGCTAACTTTACATCCATGCATGTTACCATGAAGCAAGAAACACCAAAACTAAGCTATATAAGAGATGTAGGGCATGGGGAAGGGCCGAGGCTTGATAAAGCTGGCAACTTTAAGCCTCATAAGCTCATGAGTGCCTAGATCTGAAGTCACAACTTCATGATATACTCAAATCCTGAAAATGACTTCACTATTGCCCTAAAGTGACAACATACTACCCTAAATGGAGATCTAAGTAATATAAATCCAAGGTATCAACTTTATACCTTAAATGAGTCAGAAATGCAGCTTAAACTTAGGATCTAATAGCTTCCTCTTGAATCCCCAAGCTTCTCCTTCCTTCTCAGGCTTCAAATCACAAAGAATGCACAAAATGGCTCAAAACTCTCCAAAAACGTATTAGGGTTACGTGGCTAGGGTTTGTGGCGAGGGAGGCCGTAAATGAGGCCAACCTTTGGAGGTTAAGGTGTTTAAATAGGGTGCTAAACCTTAAAAATTAGGGTTTCAATTTGGCAGCCCTACTCGTCAAGTTGAGTCACTTAACTCGTCGAGTAGACTTTTGGTTCCGCATCCAAATTTCTGTTCCTACTCGACGAGTTTGGGGCCTCCAACTCGTCGAGTTCATGTACAAAAGTGAATAAATTGATTCAAGATACATATCGGAACCGGGCATTACGTATATGCATCAATATGATGCACATGTTTATTCGAAAAACAAAAGTCTTATAACAACAACAACATAAATCCTTAATGTTAGCTTCTTCATCACCTCTTACATATACACAAAATGTTGTTTGATGTGGGCAGAATCACATTAGTATACACAAGGTAACTTTTTTTTATGTGACTCATTGACCTGATGGGTTTGTTTTGATTTAAAATAGTTTCAATTTTCAAGTAACTATTATGCTTTCTACAACTTTTCTTCTTATTATTATCTTATAAAACCTGGACAATGCGTGGAAAATACTAAATCGGATTATCTCAACATTTATTATTTTTCCTTATCTTTCCAACCTCGTAACTCGGCCATACGAACTCCAATTATAGAAAAAATTATATCGTTGGAAAGCTTGTCAGGAGTACTACAAGTTACATATTATTTGTTACGTATGAATATGCATAGAACAAGAGTTATTCAGCTATGAACATGGCAAATCAAAATATTACAACATTTCAAATGTTTGAACAACCAACTTCAAACGACCATATCTCATTCATTACATATCCATTTTGTCTGATTTTTTCCATGTGTACTCTTTGTTTTATTCACTAAAACCTTTCTTTATAATGTTCTTTATATTTAGCTATGAATATCGATGTATTAAGCTCCAAAGTTGCACGTTGCATCTGTCAAATTCCTTAATCAACTTTTCATTAATTTTTGTCCAAATTTTGCAACCTAGTAGATTTTTCATTTGAACTTATTTTAAGCTGATTCTTTTTTCTATTGTGTCATTTTCAAGTCTACTACAAGTTACCTTTGTTGAGTGAAGTAATGAACGGACTCAATGGATTGAGTCTTGGATGTCAAGTAGATCTTGGTAGATTGTTTTTTTTTTTTGTTTTTTTTATTTTAGAACTTTTATTTTTAAGTTTGTTACTTTGATTTTTTTTGTATGCTTTTATTAATTTTAACTTGCGTAGTGGATGATTTGTTTTCATATTTTCCATTTCTATGTATTTACTTTTTTATGTAAAATATGAAAAAAGCGGATAACAAATCATGGCAGACAGGCATCAACGGACTCAAGAAGAAGAGGATGCATTGATTACCATCCTTCAAGACATTGTTGTCATTGGTGGCAGAGGTGATAATTGAAGTTTTAGGCTTGGAACCTATGATTAAATCATTCTAAAGTTGTGGGAAAAATTCATTGGTATTAATATAACAGCAAAACACGTGTAAAACAAAATCAAACGTTTAAAGGATAAATTTTTTGCTACATATGATCTGCAAAATACAAGTGGGTTTGGTTGGGATCCTCGTAAATGTGTAGTAGTTGATTCTGCTGAGATATTAGAGGAATATCTAAAGGTTAGTGATTATACATATATATATATATATATATATATATATATATATATATATATATATATATATATATATATATATATATATATATGGGAAAAGTGAATATACCCTTAAGGGTATATAATAAGCTTAGGTACCCAAACTCACCATAGTACGTCGTTTTGTATCATATATATACATTGTAATTGTCTAATGTTCTTATAATTCAACCTCTAACTTGATTTCATTAAAAGATTTTTATAAATTTCACATTTATTTTCCTCTTACATAATTTTCATTTTGAACTATAATATATATAGTCTAATTGATGTTCGTCAAAAAGATGTGACCTAAGAGGGAGATAATAATGAAATGTTAAAAATCTTGAAAGTAAATTAAGTTAAGGATTGAAGTTGAAGAACATTATAATAAATATATGAAACAAAACGACATCTTATGGTGTGTATATATATATATATATATATATATATATATATATATATATATATATATATATATTATTTGTATGTATATTAAGTATTAAATATATGGTTTTACATGTAACTTTGTTTGTGTTACTAGAAACATCCAAACAAAAACTATGTCGTGAACAAACCATTCCCTGCACACGAGCGACTAGCAAATGTTTTTGGTAAAGATCGAGCTACATGCGGTATGGCTGAATCAGCAGCTGATGTGATAGAAAATCAGAATGTTGATAACGAAGACGGAGAAAATTTTCGATCGTCTAGTTCTAATCCTCAAAACACTACAACTTCCTCCAATCTAAATCCCAAAGACTCGACGCAAAATAGAAAAAGAAAAGCGATATCTGAAGAAGTAAAACATGTAATTTAAATGGGGTTGGCTACCGTATTCGAGGAAATCCAAAAAATGACTCGAGCTATTTCGTCTTCAACGAATGACCTCATAGAGTTAAAAACTATACATGAAGATTTGAAGACCATGGAGTTGTCTTCTTCAGAAATAATGCGAGTTTATTTTAGGGGTGAGCATAATAACCGAAAAACTGAACCATAACCAAATTAACCAATATAACCGAACCATAATAACCGAACCGTTTTAAAAACCATTGGTTCGGTTTCTAATTTTTGTTAACCAATAACAAACGGTTCGGTTATGGTTTTATAGGTTAACCGAACCATTATTAACCGAACCGCTAACTTTATATTTTAATGCATAAAAATTATGGATTATATATAAAATAATATAGTCAAACTTATTTAAAACCCATTAAAATTTCAAAATATAATTCATTAATACTCACTTATCAAGAGATGAACATGCAAGCAAACCATAAAAGGATGATCACGCAGATTATGCAGACACACACAATTTCCAATCATGCATTGAGTTATATTATTGATTAATGTCGTAATTCCTAATCGGCTAATTCTATAATTTGCAAACATTATTCACAATTAGTTTAATCTTCACACTCATAATCCTAATTGGAGGCTTCTCAAACCGTTAATCCTAATCAAAGATTGTTTTAACTTTATAGTTCTATTCGAAGGATTTTTTTAATTTATAATCAAAACTTATAGGTAAGTTAAGTTTTTAGTTCTTCCTCACTTTATGATATATTAAGAATGTATTTTTTTTCTAAAAAAATGTTTTTTATTTACTGTTTTTACTTAATCACATTGAATGTATATGAGTGGTTTTATTTATACAGATAACACGTAATATAAAATGTTTAACTATTTTATTTCTATACTTTTTGATTTAATCGCATTGAGCATGTATGAATGTTTGACTTTATTTTAATGTTAATATCAATTATCAATATATGAAGTTATTACTGTCAATTTTTTTAATTTGTTATACTTTTTATTTTGAATGTGATTGTGTTATCTCACTCTGAGTTTAAAATGTACACATTTTATTCTATTACTATAAGCTAGGTTACAAACATTGGTGCCGAGGACTTTTTGTATTCTCTTTTCATTTTTTTATGCCACTATACTTTTGCCATTTATATTATTTTTAACATTATGGTTAACCAATATTAACCATTAATCAAAACCGTTAACCGATAAAAACCATTAACCATGACCAATATTACCCTTACCCAATGGCTACTAAAATGCATTAACCAGTCATAATGGTTATGGTTCGGTTTTGACCAATAACCGAACCAAACCACTCCATACACATCCCTAGTTTATTTGAAGTTTACGAAAAACTTGAATTTGTTACTGATGTGGAATAGCTTGGACACCGCTACCAAACCACTTTGTGCAAAGACTATATTAGATGACAATTGAGGTTTGTTATTTTTTTAGAACAAATTATTAAAATCATCCCTATAGTTTGGTTAAAATTGCACGTTTGGTCCCTAACTTTTATTTTGCACTCGAACCGCCCTTACTGTTTGATTTTTTTACATTGTTGGTCCTCCTAAGCATAAAAAAAATACTATAATACCATTTATATTTATTTTTTATATTTTTTTTATATTATTTACTAATTATTAAAAGATGTATTAATGTAATAGGTCCTACCACCATCATCACCACCACCTACTACCATAAAAAACCCACCAACTAACAGAAAACACCACCGATGACCGCTAGCCACCACCCGCCAAACCCTTACCCATCACCTCCGATAACCAGCACCACCACCCACGTATTCTGGCAACACCGCCACCCGCCTATTCAGTTTACCCACATCATCGATTTCATCAGGTGACACCCTATTTACATCCAACAACCACCATGTTCACCTCCAACAATAAATATCATTCACTTCCTGCAACCAGAATTGATCACCACCTCGACCAAATCAAAACCAAACCAAATCAAAGATCAGGACCCATAAATCAAAACCAAACAAAGATCAAATTATGAAATCAAAACCTAACCAAAGTCAAAACAAAACCAAACCTAACTTAAAATCGATGATGAAATCCCAGATATCAAATCAAAAAAAAAATACAAATGGACTCAAATTTTATTGTATTTGAAATCGATGATGTCGTCGGATTAAACACATTGGGAGTAATCTGAAAATGAAACACCTCACCTGATATCCCAGAAATCAAAGACCATTTTTCCAGATAATGAAATCAATGGAATACTATTTTTGAAGTTGAAATTAATGAGGTCAGCGGAACAAGAAGAAACGGGGTTAGATGGGAACACACGAATGCGAAGAAGAACAATGGAGTTACAGGTTTTTGGTGGCTTTACAATTGGAGGTTTCTGGAGGCGTTAGGGTTACAAGTTTCCAGCATCTTTACAGTTGCAGGTTTTAGAGAAATTAGGGTTACAATCATCCGGAGGAGTTGTTCACATGATGTTTGATGGCGGCTGCGACTTTCGGGAGGAGAAGGCTCCGATGGGGAGTTAAGGTGAAGATCATTGATTTAAGGTGGATTTTAGAGGGATTGAGGTATATCTTGAAGCCTTGAACTACCATCGATAACTTCAAGTTATAAAGGGGAATGGATGGACTGGGGGTTTGGAGTGGGATTGGTAGGGACGTGTGGAGCCCAACATTTTTAATAATTTATAAAATACTTTTAATAATCTTTAAGAGTTTTTTTAGATATAAATAAAAAATGGTAAGGGAACCACTTGGGTTGTGGTGACTTGGTAAGGCATGTGGAAGATATGGTGGATAACCTATTGACCCATGTTCAAATCCTGGCACTACTAAGCCCTTGTGGCCATGGAGGTCCGCCTGCAGTGACTCCAGGGCATGAGGCAAAGCCTCATGTTTGCAGCGGGGGATTAGTCGGTACGCGAAAGCTGGCCCGGAAACCCTCGTTAGGGAAGTTCCCTTTCCAAAAAAATGGTAAGGGTTCTTTTTATGTCTAGTAGGGATGAAAATCGTAACAAAAATTAACTATTGGGATAGTCCGAGTGCAAAATAAAAGTTAGGGATCAAACACGCAATTTTTACCAAACCACAGGGACGATTTCAGTAATTTGTTATTTTTTTAAAAAAAATAAGGATTTTGGAAACCATTTTTGTTTAGAACTTTGTTAATTTTGAAGCAAAATTGATTATTTGGTATTAAAGCTTGTTTTAATGAGAATTTTAAATAACATCTTTTTATTAAAAATGTTTATTTTGAAGTTGTGTATGTTAAATAGAGTTATTATAAATATTTTTTGCATAAGGGTAGTATGGTCATTTTTACATCTTGTTATGTCCTGTACTATTGTTACCAAATAGTTTCAGTTCATTTCAGCTCAGTCTTACCAAACTCTATACAAATTATTTGTCATGTCCAGTCAAGTCCTATTCAGTCCAGTTCTGTTCCACCTAGTTCTTCTGTCAAACGGTACCTAAGGTTAATCTAGGTTTGATGGGTGCTCTTCGGTGGAATTCTGCAATCACAAAAACTAAATAGGTCATCACCCGATGGGGTGTTAGACCCCGATCGAGACAGAGGCGTTGATTGGCATATCATACCTTTGTCCCCTGCCTACGCCCTAATTAGCTTAGCCATGGTAATGGTGCGTGCACCAGTACTAAAGTTAGCAGGTGATGGTTTGTTGACTTCTGACTCTCCTGCAAGAGTTCCAAGTTGGACTTTGATTATTGAGAGATCGCTTAATCTGGGCCGTAATGAATGTTGGCTAGCAAAGGAGGCTGGCAGGCTTGGCCATGTGGCTCATCTGATTGGTATTTCTAGCGTGCCTAGAGGCACGCTATCAAGTCTCCCTAGTCTTATTTGTAGCGACAAAGGTGTGCTTAGTTGCAATAGATGGGACTAGATTTAGGTGATGTGTTCCCTTGTGTTTGGTTTTTATCTTTTCGACTACATGAGGCAGCGGTTCCGAGCTGTGGCATTAGCCATTATTACTAGGTTTTTCATATTTTCCGCCCATCTATATATATTGTGATTTCTTCCCTATAATTTTCTTCATTCTTATCCTTTTCTTTACCTTTCTCTGAGTTTACACCTTTTTTTACTATGGATTCTCCGATCAGTGTTGCTCCAACTCCTGATCAATTCAAAGCACTTCAGAACAAGTATGGCTTCCAGCCGGAAGATGGAGTAACTTTCCCTAGTGAGCATGCTTGTTTTATTGATCCCCTTGAGGGTAAGATTCTCATCTATATGAAACATTTTGATGTTGGATACCGTGTTCTGAGATTAGACTTCTTTCAAGAGGCTCTTTGTCATCACAAGCTTTACAAACAACCAGTTAGTTCTCAACGATGTGATCAAAGTGGTTACTTTTGAGATGCTTTGTCGAGCTAAAGGCATTAACCCCGACATTTGGGTTTTTTTTGCCATATTTTCCGATTTGTTGCTGCTTCCTCTAGTGAGAGCTATAGCTTCACCATTTGAAAACATAGTCATGTTCTGGTGATCGATCAGTAGAATTTCCCTGAGAATTGGGCGAATCACTATTATTGGGTTAATGCTGATCGTGTGGGTCCTATGGAGCGTCATTTAACCTCCATATCTGATCACTCTTTCACCCTGTACTCATATAAGGAGTAGATGGCTAGAGTTCTCTTTTTTTTCATGCTGTTGGTGACGATTTTCCAGAGTATGTGCTTGTCTGAATTGAAATGAGCACATTGTGGAGGCTTCGGAGAAAGATGCCCTAGTTCTATGTTATTTCCTAAGGTTTGCTTCAATTTTCATACTGAATGTTTGTCATTTTGTGTTTACTCTTCATCTTCTTGTATACTATTTCTTTCTTTCGTGCTCTTCCCTTTTTTGAGAGGAAAGTGGAAATGACTGTTTTTGGTTATTTAGGGGTGGATAAAAAAGTTGACTTCATGGATGTGATGGCGAAGAAGTGGGTAGGTAGTCTCTGGTTTTGAGAAGTGGATCTTATTTATTAGGTTTTTTCATCGTTTCCATTTCAGAATGAGGCTTTTATTGCGCGTGATTATGCTATCTAGGACATTGAGCGTGATTGTGGCGCCACATAGTATTCTTGATCGATGTCTATTGATCATTTGAGTGTGTATATCGGTGTTTAGTCTTATGAGAACAAGTTACAAAAGGAAAAGTTTGTGGCAGATAGTAAGGAAGGAGTTCTTCTTTTGATGAATAAGTGTAAGGCTATCTGGTAGAATGCGAGTGAGCAAAACGTTGATGTTCTGGTACCCGTGCAATGTTTACGTCGACAAAAGTTAGCTGGAGGAAGCTATCTTGTTGCTCCTATTTAGAATGAGGTGATTGATGTTCCTAATGATGGTAATGTGGAAAAAACTATTGTTGAGGAGAATGTTGTTGGGTCTGAGCCAATTTTTGTTTCACATACTTCGGAGTGTTTGGAAGTCGGGGGGTGGGGGTTGAAAGTGTTGGTGTGAAGGAGGGTTATCGTCATTTGCATTTTGGGGATGTCGAGTCTCTAATGCTTGGTATTGGTGAAGTTGGGGGTTCTAGTGGTGTAACGTTTTCCATTTCTTGGTGTTTGACAAATGAATTGCACCTTTCATTGTTTGAATCTCAGTTGACTTTTCCAAAAATACGTTTCCGCCTGGCACCCAATCCAAGATTGCTAATTATTCTGTCTCTAACCTCGTTGTAGTATCTTTCGACATTTTCCTTGTATTCCGCTTGGCGGAGTGCTATCATTCCACACTTTTCTTCTATTATGCCGAGGTTGATTCAGAGGTTTTCGCCATTTCTATCATTGTTGAAGAATTCTACTCGTGGATTTCTATGAGTGGTTGTTGCGGTAGAACAGTGTTTGTGCTATAAGCCAGGTTGAAAGGTATTTCCTAGGTTTTGACACGAGTAGTTGTTCAGTATGATCATAATACTGTGGGCACTTCGTCTACCCAATTCCCTTTTTTCTTGCCTGGTCGCCTTTTGATTACGGCCACTAGGGTCCTGGTTGACACCTCTGTTTTCCCATTAGCTTGGGGATGGGCCATGGAAGTGAAGCGTTGTTGTATGATGTGTTCCTCCCACCATTGTCTGAAAGGGTTTTTGGCAATTGTAAGTCGTTGTCAATGATGAGTGTCCTTGGCATTCCGGAACGGGTGAGAATGTTCTTCCACATGAATTTAATCATGCTACGACCATTTATGGATGCCACTGGTTCTGTTTTTATCCACTTTTTCAAGTAATCGACGGTTATGACCAAGAATTTGACCTTCCCTGGGGCTTCTAGGAAGGTCCCTATGATGTCTATTCCTAATTTTTATGGAAAGGCCATGGGCTAGACAGGCTTGTTAAAGGTGCAACCAGTATGTTCTATATTGGCGCAAATGTTTCGCATTCTTTACATCATTTTGTGATCTTTGTGTCGTCTTTATAAATGTTCGGCTCACAGATTCGAAGGTGGAAGATCTTTCCGGATAGCACTCTGGCTCCTTCGTGTGCACCCGCTTCTCCTGCATGTGTTTCTTGCAATATGACCATGCCTTCTTGTTGTGTCATACATTTTAGCCATAGGGACAAGTAGCTCTTTTTGTGTAGTGTTCCGTCACGAATGGTGTATTGAGGCGATTTGATTTTTATCTTTCTTACTTCTGTTCCATTGTCTGGGAGGACGCCATTCAGTAGGTATTTGAAGTATGGTGTCATCCAATTTGGCTGGTTGGTGTCACACCCCAAAACCAAGAACAGCGGAAACGTTCTGGGGCGGAGGACGTCATGTAAAGTATCACAACACAGTAAATGTAAATAAGCAAAAACAACATCATCCATTGCATTAAATATATAATTTTAATACAAGCATGTTCTGTACAGTATAGACACCAAAAATAATGTATATCAAAATAATAAGATGATCTTGGATGCGCTCCATCTTCTCAAAAGCTGGCCTCGATACCTATCTACTGATGACCTGAGAATACAAGTTATTTTGAAAGTGTTTGCCAGCATTAAGTTGGTGAGTTCATAAGTATTTTAGTGTCGGTATTTGTCATCCAAAAACGTTTGAACATGTATCAAGTGTAAGTTTGTAAAATGTATGTAAATGTTTGTAAGTGTTTGTAAAAGTTTGAATCTCTAAGAAAAACCTATATTTTCTATTAAACTAGCCTTCTACCAAGGCTTAACTGCTTTGTATGTTCGTTTACTGTAAAAGTGTGTAATTAACTCAAGTGTAACTATCATTTTCAAAATATAGTTTGTACATAATTGTTTAAGTGAAAAGATCACTAATTGTGTAAAGAGTAAATCAATGTAGTACTGTAATGTTGTATTATAGGAACTACTGTTGTACTAACTACCGTAAACTGGATTTATATTAAGGTATCATGTGATAAATTGCACCATACTATCGACTGGTAACAACGACATACGAATGGTCATAATAACGGAATGACGTTTGGCACCCACAGACCTGTAGGTCCGGCTGTAGCTAGCAGCAAGGTGTAGGATAGTCAATCCAATATAGATCTATACGCAAACTCACGCTCTCCCTCCAAGAGAATTTTGGCTACAACTCGGGCCATGACAATTAAGGCATGCTCCGATACAGTGGATCACAATTGTTAACGTATTCTTGTATATGTAATGTAATGAACTGTCCTAGTATAGTTGTATATGTTCTCTGTCTAGTATAGTTGTATATGTTCTCTTTCTAGTATAGTTGTATATGTTCTCTTTCTAGTATAGTTGTATATGTTCTGATAGTAATAAGTATTAAGTCATGAATGAACTGACTCATTTATCTAGAAATTGTAGTAGTATGATCCTATGTTACCCCGATGGTAACTTACTGATGGTGTACTGATAAGTATGAATATGGAAGTACTTTTATGTCTATATATGCATATTTGATATATAACTAATATTGAAACGACCTTCGGACGACTACCCGAAATCCCACCAGACCACATCTCAATGCGCGAAAAGGAAATAGGGTGGATAGCCTTACTAAGCCCTTTAAACATTTCTTATATATCTATACATATATGGGCATGAAATTTATAAGAAGTAAAACAAAGTTTAATAAAATCATTTGATAAGTAAAAGAGTTTGTAAAACATTTTGAAGTGAAACAGTTTGAACAGTGATAAAATCATTGGTTTTCTAGTTATTAATCGCATGTGATTAATGTAATCACATGTGATTGATGTAATAACTATAAGTATTTAACTTGTATAACCCCCCCCCAATAAAGTATTTAAAACATTTAAAAGCATTTCAAACATTAATTAAAGGGGTATGAACTCACATGTGGTGAGTGGATTGGATTGAAGTATCGGGTATCGTGCTAGGTGGCAAACGGAGACTTGTTCACACGCATGAGCCTAGTTATCATATAATGAGCATATATATAACTAATTAGCCCAATAATAACTTAATAAAATAAGTTGGGACACTCAGGAACATGTAAACACTTTGTATAAGTGTTATAGGTCCTAAGGGTTGCTTCTAGGTTGTTATGGGACAAGGTTAAAGGGGTTTAATGTACCAAAATACCTTGAATAAGAGTTTACTACTCAATAAACTCCACACAAGGAGTTTACGGTCGTAAACCCTTCAGTTTATGGCCGTGAACTCTTTTCTTGGTGGTTTTGGGTGTTTTAAATTGCTAAATGATTTCTAGAATAAGCCTAGCTTGGGTGGTTTAATCCTTTAGGTAGTTTAGGGCCTTAGAATGCTCCTTTGAGGAGTTTACGGCCAAAAGACCAAATCCCCTAGAGTTTACGGCCGTAAACTCCTATGGCGTGGGTGTTTTAATTCATTCAAGCCTCTTGCACACAAAGGATAATTTCTAGACTTTTGTTTAAGGCTAAAGGGGACCTTAGGCACACTTTGGTGCCTTTACTTGGAGTTTACGGCCCA